AAGAGGGCAAAACAATATCATATCAATCAATATAGAATCTGTAAGTTTTTATTTCACTTTACCTTCACTGATTGGTAATCTATACCACCAATTAACCCCTCTGTCAGCAACCATTCAAACTCCATCACTGAAAGAACTGGCAGCAATAAGCCGAGTCTTGCCTCTGATATTTCATACAGGTTGCCTTACCTTGTTGGATTCACACACAGGCTGAGAGGAAGCTCAGCAGACACCACTCTGTGCTGGAAAAATGACTGCTACCTCATCTGTACGCTCCCGGGGAGATGAATCATTCATCTGATTTTGTCTGACAGTGGAGTGTATATGCCCGTATGCCCATTAAAGAAGCACATAAAGGGCCAGCGTGTGAAAAAATGGACAACAAATGAAATAAGGAAAAAAAAAAAGTATTATCAATAGATATCAGTATCATTTGACCATATCACTGATATTCACGCTGGTATCATATTTCTCAAAGCAATATTCAGCCGACTTCTCTCTTCAATTAACCTACAGGACCTCAATCCCAAACGCATTCTGCACCCGCTGTCAGCCACTTAGACATAACAACCCTGTGAGGGAAGCTGTGGTATAACCTCTGCAATTTCTGACCTGCAACCCATTTTCTCCATAAATTGTCTGCCTGGGTTGCAGCTCCACAGTGGTAATGTTTTGGTCAGAACTGATAGGTGTGTAAAAAGCTGCAGAAATGACTAGGTGCAGGTTGGAAACAGCCGGAGTCAGCCAGCGTGGCAGATGAGATGATGTGTACACAGCTGAGCGATGGGAGAGGAAAGACAGAGAAGCAGAGGAGAAGCAGCCATCACCGCACTCCCACCAGGTCTACACAACAAACATGCAGACACACAGATGGAGAAAAAACACACACACACAGTACACAGTGAATTAAGGATCAAAGGTGAACCTTTAACATCTGATCCATTTCTTACTTGTGTGGCTTCAGGGCTGACTGACATTACTAAATATCGAAAGGAGCCAGTTGAGGTGGTTGGGTCATCTGATTAGGATGCGTCCTGAGCGCCTTCCCTTGCAGGTTTTCGGCGCACGTTCAACAGAGAGGAGATAGACTAGTGTAGACGCTGGAGGGATTACATATACCATCTGGCCTGGGAACGCTTCAGGATTCCCCAGGAGGGGTCTGAAAACTTTGCTGGCGACAGAGAGCTGCTAGAATACCCTGCTTAGCTAGCTGCCACCACGACCCGGCTCTGGATCATCGGCAGGAAATGGACGAATAGATGGATGGAAAAAAAAAACAGATCAACCTGCCATTCATTTGTAGATACAGTATATTCAGACACAACACTTACTCTGTTGAGGATGTTAATAAAGTATGCTGCAGATCTTTTTTTTTTTTTTTTACTATAGCCAGGAAACATATAATTGTAGAAGAGGATGACAGAAAGGAAATATGAATGAAAGCACTCAGGGACAATGTTACTAAAATTATTACTATTATTATAAGGAAAAGAAGGTAAAGGAAGAGCTGCCATAATAGCTGCCATAGTAGTGAGATAACAACCGGATCAGTGTGTCAGGGGGAGTATAGGTAGAAGATCCTGCTGAGGCTGTTCAATTTGTGGTGTTAAAAAACAAACAAACAGGGAATCACTCAGAGGTAACCCTTCACATCACACATGCACGAGCGCATGCACGCACGCACAGTTTAATCAGACCTTCCATGAGAAGAAAGAAGGAAAAAGGAGGAAGAAGGAAAGTAAACATTTATGTCCCCGCTCTTCATATGTGGATAAAAGAGTTGGCTCGACTTAATTATATGACAGAAGTCTGGCTTTTTCAGCTCTTCATAGCCAGCTTAACCTTTATCGGGAGCTGTTGTCATAGCAACAAGTCATTAAAACCTTCAAAAGTGCAGCTTATTTACAAGGTAGCCGAGTCAAACAAGATAACATTGACACTTCAAAGAAGGGCAAATTAAAATTTAGTTTAGGATGTATGGAGTAATTTAAGTCATTTATTTGTGACATTTTAAAGTAAAAAGTTTCACATTTATATTTAAGAGCTGAAACATATGATTATGTATTGGCTTCATAGGTATAAACTGTGTGAACTTGAAAAGATATATAATTTAACTCTTGAGGATTTCAGTTTACAGGTATAATATGTGTACAGTAAGATCCTTTGCTCCATGATTAAACCCTATAAATGTGCACTCAGCCAATCATATTAGTGCTGATCATGGTTTGTAATCTCTATTTATGTTGCCTTTAATTTGAAACAGGAATACTCTATATTAGTGGCAGGAGGTTCCAGTGTTTTTTTCCCTTCAGTATACGCCATGTACAGACTTCTAAATGAATCTCCTGGGTTTTTTTTTTGTATTTCAGGCCACAGGGGTACTAATATGATGCGCTGCAGGCTACATTGAGCTGATAACTTATAAAAGTGTTTTTATAAACTTAGATAATATTGTGTTATTGCTACATATGTACATTTATTTTTTAAGTAAATAAAGTGTTAAGTAAAAGTAAAGTTTACAGAAGTTAACTTCGGATGCCCTGGTCAGAACCAAGGGGGCCCGGCCATCCTGTGAGTTTGTAACACTATTAAAAGTTGTATTACTTTAATTTATGTGGCTGGCAGTTAATTTGGTAACATGCAGTACAAAAGCAGAGTAGTCCAGAGAAAGCCAGAGCTGTTGTCATGTTGGCTGACCAAGTTTTCTGATAGAGAATGAACAGGATCATTTTTTATATCTTTTAATTCTGATGTTTACATCATCCTTTCAATGTGCTATAAATAAAGTTATAATTATTCACTGGTCTGTATGGAAATGCAAACAGACACAAAGTACTGTGCAGAAGATCCAGGCTGTCTCAGTGACTTCTGTCTCTTCATGTAATCTTACACTGACTCCATGATCTTAAGATCAGGGCTCTGTGGGGGCCAGACCATCTGTTGCAGGACTCCTGGTTCTTCCTGTTGCTGGAGTGTTTTATGAGTCTAAGCTGTATGTTTGGGTCATTGTCATGCTGCAGAATGAGTTTTGGACCTAGGAATAAGGATTTAAAGTTCCTAAAACTTTTGCATAGTACTGTGTATACATTTAGATCTGATCTGAGCTAGTTAATTCCACTAAATCAGCTTTTGTAAATCAGTAGTCTCGCCAAGAGAATATGGATATTTTTTATGAGAGTTTAAGTTTCCTCTTTTACATCTTTATTTATTCTCCTGGTTGTATTTTTAAGGCAGATGCCTCTCTCCAACCTCTAGTCCCAGGAAACATACTTTAAATTTCACAGCTGCTGTAGGTGAAGTTAGCTAGCTATGACATCATCAGAGAGTAGGAGTTCATATTCATGCTTCAACATTACTGATTAAAAACACCTCCCAGGTTAGAGCGCTGTTGGCTGCAGCCAATTTGTGTGACAAAATGACCCTTCATCAACATGAGCTTTAAGTCAATCAAGACGGGTTAAAGAGGACTTGACTCAGAATGTACAGGCTCTACAGGAAGGTGTGTTGGGAGCAGGACGTCCAGAAAATTGCACATATATGCTTTGTTGCATTCAACCATCTCATTGCCTGGCTGTGGCCGTCAGCTGTCACCACACGGATACACAGACACACACAGGACATTCATAAAGTAGTATAGCCACAGGGCAAGTGTACTGTGTGATTGTGTCTCCTCAAAAAACATGTATGATGACAGGCTGTGTGGGTGGCTGACAGATGACAGCATTATCTGTGTGTCTGTGTGTGTGTGTGCACGTCTTCCTCAGCCAAGTAAAATATATGAATGGCTGACAGTTGTTGGACGAAGTTAAACATTTCGTGAATGCGTGTGCAAGTGTGTGAGCATGCACACAAAGCTCACTTGCGGCTATGTACACCTCAAATCTAGGCAGGTGTAGAGCAGAAGAATACTTACTACAAACATAGCAGGCAGGAAATACAAGCACATTTTAAATGACAAAAGAAATGTCCACTTACTGGATTTATTCTGGAGCACACTGCGCCCATTAGCAGGGGGAGTTTGCCCACATGGAGATGGTTCAGCTGTCATCGGGTATGGACTTCACACATAATCACATGATAACTGAGATGCTCCATCAGCTGATGAAGATACGGTTAAAAGCTCCTGGGGAAATCTGAAGCCGCTCTTGGATAAACATTTTGTCAAAGTGTAATTTCCTCAATAAATGGGGTCATTTCAAATTAGAAAAAGGTTTTCTGAAGGAAATGTCAGTGTGTGAAATGACAATTCCAAATACATGCTGCAAATAATATAATTCATATTTATTTCTGAAATGATTAGCTGATTTATGCTTCATGATTTGACAATCAATTCACTATTTAATTGATAAGCCCCAATGCTGAACATTATCTGGTTGTGCTTTCTCAAATGTGAGAATTTTCAGCTTTTTCTTTATATAATTACAAACTTCATATCTTTAGGATTCTCAATTCAATTTCCTCATCTATAAATTCATGGAAATTGCAGTCCTCCCATCACAATTAAGCAATTACTGTAACACAGTGTCTTAAATGATATAAATAAACATAAAAGCAGAGAAAGAAGATTAAGACCCATCTGCCACACTAGTGCCTCTGTGAGGCTGTGATTAGGCAAAGAACTGCAGTGAGCTAAATGTTAATTTCAGCATGATTACATGCTCATACTAAGTAGGTATTGAGTTAACCGACTAGTGTCTGCCAGTTGGTGTTAGTCAATGAAAGAATCCATACTGTCCACACACAGATGATGTCCCACTTCCTCCATAATCCTACAGGACATCTACACAGTTTGGACTGTTGGTCATACACAACAAGCTATTTGAAGACATCACTTTGGGTTTCAGGAACTTTAAAGATGAAATGATGGGATAAAAAAATAATTAGCATATTAATTAGCAATAAAATAAGCATAGTGGCAGACCTAAAATAATTATACCTTACTGAAGCTTTTATCTTGCAAAGCTGCTTAATGAATTAAGTAAATGAAAAAAAGCACATGATAAAACAAGACATGTTTTATTTATATTCTCTTTAATATATCTTAAAAAATGGATATACAATCTGAGAAAGAAAAGGTTGAGGATTTGAAGAAGAACAGGTCGTTCTTCTCCCCTGGCCCAAAGATGGAGTTAGCCCAAGCAGAGACATTCCCAAGTAACATCCTGGGAAAATAAAAACACTGCTGACTGCCAAACTAAAGGACAAACGACAAGGTGTCCAACGGGAAGCTAACGTCAGAGTATTAGTAAGGCTAAGATAAAGTACAGAGTGTTGAGCTACCATATCCTGGAGGCAATAAACTGTCATTGCAGCTACACAGGATGGCTTCATATTAATAGGCAGTAGCATTAGCCTTCACCATGCAGGAAAACGCCATGGAATGCCCACATTCACATCTGCTTTCAACAGACCTTTCATTTTCTCAGGTCCTTTATTTTGACAGTGTCTGTTGTTTTGTTAACTTTCACGAGGAAAACAACAACATTAGAGCTGTTGAACGCTGGGCCAGAATAACAAAAAGAAAAGAGGGGCGAGAGGAAACCAGAGCATGCTAACAAGTCACGTCGTTTCAACACGTCATACTGACACATACACTCACACACACACACACACTCTCACACACGCACTCCACAAACACAAAATTTCAATCTTTACACACACCTCCAACATAAAAGTTCAATTCTCAACAACTACATTTCTGACATCCTTAGTAAAATCCACCCCTGGCAGATTACATAGACTTTGCCTCATGCAGACGTGTGACGACAAAGCTGAATGGAGTGACAACAGTCGATAATAGGAGATGCGACTCAAACTGGAGGCACAACGCTAGCCAGGGCCAAGCAGAACACACACACACACACACACACACACACGCACGCACACGCACGTGCACACGCACGCACATACCACACCCTCACTGGCTAACTGGGTGGCACAGTCTTTCTCCCTCTCTGACTCACAAACACACACACACACACACACACACACAGACACACAATGAACATGAACATGCACCGTATGGCCAAAATCCCCAACGAAAGACGTTTATATAGACAGTTTGACATTATCTCGTTGGCTAAGAAGCCCCAGAGCCACCCCACGACGCAGTAAACCTCATCGAACTCTCACAGCTGTGCCTTTACAAGTTTTCTATCAAGCTAACAAGCTAAGGAGTGAGCCAACAAGCATTGTCACGAGCAAGCTAATCCACAGGATGTCATGAAAAATAGCTTTGTGACCGTGGCTTATCTTAACCAACTGTCAGCTAACCTCACTTGCACTGAGTGAAAACCACTCACTCGTTAGATAGCTAGTAAGCTCACTCGCCAGTTTCTTAGGTAAATAGCTTGGTCGCTAGTTAGTTTGCTTGCTGTCTGTCTTTCTGAAGTTATGCTGATGACTTTTCCAACCACATCCAGACAGTGGAAACATACACTCTATACACACACACACAGAGAGGTATTATCTTTCTAAAAGACATACCCTATATCTTAGCTCCCAAACACAGAATAAGAGGCAATGTACAGTGCAGTCATAAAGTCTTGGGACAGTGAAATTCTTGTTATTGTGTACAATGAAATAATGACTATGAGGTTAAAGCACTGACTTCCAGTTATAGTGGTGTTCACGTCCATATTTACTGAACAGTGTAGGACTCACTGGTTCTTTTATAGTTAAATAAACCAAATTTTAGGACAATGATCCTGAACATAACGACCAAAAAATTGAATTTATATTATTAAATTATGCAAAACAGTCAAACGTTCGTGGTCAGTCCCCTCACATCAATCCAACTGAGTGCTTACTTCACTTGAAGACCAGACTGGAGGTACAAGCACCCGAATCATACATCGTACATCCGACCCCTTTCACACTGTCATACTGTTTTCACATTGTCATTTCATCCTTTGATATTAGAAAAAATAGTTGTTGTACCTGCTTGTTTACATGTTAAATTACATTTTGTCCATTAAACCTGGTGGACTATGTACAAAAAGAGCTATAAGTCCCACACTGTCCATTTGTTATAGAAAATCTAAATCAGTACTTTAAACTCACAGTCATTGTTTCATTTTAAACCCAATATGCTTAAGTACAGAGCTATCATACCAAAAATGTATCACTGCACTGTAAGGTTGAATAAACCTCTGTATTCTCAAATGGGAAAAGGTATGCGTAGTTGTGTTTGTGTGAAACAGAGAGACAGATGGAGGAAAGACAAAAACAGTAAAGTGAGGACAGAAGGGGTGCAGAGACCATGTGAAGCTGAAAACAGTACAATACATTTGGCTGTGGTTTTAGTAGTAGTACTTTATCCCACTAGGGCTGAAAACACACAAGGTCTCTGTGTGCATGTGTGTGTGTGTGTGTGTGTGTATGTGTACACATGCAAGGAGAATAATGAAACACGACAATGTGGTCATTCACATGCTGTCTAGTGGGGCTGGGGGTGTTCCAGTTTGAGTGTCTGTGTGTGTGTGTGTGTGTAACTGGCATGTGTACAGAAATGTGTGTACATGTGTTCACCTCTTACCACAGGACGTGACAGTGTGTTTTTGCGTGTTTGTGTGTGTGTGTGTGTTTGTAAACTCACATGCATTTTCTCTTTAGCAACACAAACATGGCAGGCACTGGAACAGAGAATTGATAGTAACAGATATTCTTTCTCTTGATTCATCAAATTTCAAAACAGCTAAATGTGACTTTTTTTTTTTATGGCGATGAATCATCACATCAGATCCCTTGCCATTAGTTACCATGGCTCGTTTCCGACTGGCTCAGGGACACCTCAGCGAGGCGCCGGCATTTAGTGATGTTGCCACAATGAACAGACATTGTGGTCATTGTAACACTCAACTGTTTAGGATAATTAAAGCATATTTTTCTTTTGTATGCAAGTCCTTTCTTAAACGTACAATTTTTTATTTATTTATTTTTTTTCATTTCGTTCCTGCAAATGAAGTTTATTGCAATCGGGTGAACAGAGAAGAGCATAGGCAGGGCTGTGGTGTCAAGAGGAGAGGAGTGGTAAGAGTCAAAGAGTCAGCTGTTGAGTCACACACACATCGGGGAGTCGGCCATGATAAGCAGAGGCAAGGTAGAGCAGTTTGGTTGATTGGTGCAGGCTGATGTAAGTGCTTCTATCATCTGGCATAGTGCTTGATGTAATCTTGAACCTTATTCCGGAAATCCTCCTGGATGGAAAAGAGGTAAACATAAAGAGAAAGAATAGAAGAGTTAGATGGAAAAGCCAGAAATTACATTTTACAGTTATAGCAGTTGAAAGAAAGAAATGTAAGAAATGACAAATTTAAAGTATATCAACACATAACCAAATAGAAAGTATATATATTTTTGCACTTCTGGTAAACCGACCTATTATTACTTTGTATGTTGTTTTCCATAACTTGTGACTTCATAAAATGTAGAAAACTGGACATGTCATATGGTATGGTTGAACATTATGGTATGGTGTGGTTGGACACTATAAGCCTGACACATGTCACTTTGTCCCGATTCAAACATGTTCACTTCATATGTTAACATAGTGATCCTAGTTATTATATCTGGCTTCAACTTATTCCATGCACTCAGAATCATCTCTCGACACAAGTATAAAGCTTAGTGCTATTTGTATCTGCTTTATCCAAAATAAAAAAATAAAAAATCATCTGTTTTTACATATATATTTAATGATTCTTTCCACATTTACATTTTGATCAGTCAGGGGAGATATCCAGTGTAAGAGTGAGACTACTTCTCATCTTGATGATGTTACGACATCTGTTCAAGTTGACTTTCCTTGCTAATACCTCCTCTGGTCATGCATGCCCTCTCCTCCCACTACCACGTTTTTCCTTCTTCTTGATCATGCCCCTTCTGGTTGTGCTTGGCTTCTTTCCACCCCCACCCACTATCCATCCGTCCCGTAACCTCCCCTCTGCTGCTTCGTTGACCCGTTCCCTCTGGCCTTATTGAGCTGCGAGTGTGACCTCACCCTCCTTCCTCTTCTGATTGTGTTGTGTCCACCATTTCAGCCTTCTGTCTCTTTAACCACTTGGGCTGTTTAGGAAGCACTTTGACAATTTCTTTTGGTTTGCCTGTGTCTGCATCCTCTTCATTTTTCAAACAATTTGTTGATAAATCAGGCAGAATACAAAACACAATATTATGGATTTTGATTAAAAAGGCTGTAGAGCAGACTGCTATTAATTTGAGCTGCAGCAGCTTTCCTCTTTTGTGAAAAGATTTCAGTCCACACAAGAAAGTGCATTGCTTAGCAAAACTGCACTGTAGTTAGCCACATTGTAAATCATAGAAACTGTTGTAACTGGGGACACTGATTATGCACTATTATAGTAAGGAGGACAGTCTTTCCTGGAGGTCGTGTTGACAAAGTCTGTACAGAGGTCACTAAAGTGACCAGTCAAGATTGCTGAAGTTATTTATATAGCTTCTGGATATGGGTTGGAGCTTTGACTCAAAGTAGTAGTGCAATGGACTGCCTTAAAGTCATACAGCATAATACCATATTTGTCCATCTGTCTCTCAGGTTGACCTCTTTAAATTCAACTCGTAAACATGGAATATTGGTCCACCTGCTTGTCATTCTGCCATCTCTTGTCTAACCAGATGTCTTTTGCAAACTTCTGTAAGCCTTTGTGGAAAAAAAGCCTCAACAAACAAAAACTTAAACAGGCACACATACATACAGGAAACTTAGTGGAGAAAATAATGGAGAAGACGGTTTACAGAGTGCAGAGAGGCCACAGAGGAAGTGAATTGTAGACCAATAACACTTTGAAATGGGGTGAACTAAAACAAAATGTGTTTGACAAATACTGCCAAGGTAAAGTGTCTCACATAAAATACCCATAATCATGCAGAGAACTGTATTAGCTGTGGCCTCAATGCAAAGATCGCTGAAGTCATTCATATAGCTTCTGAACGTGAGGTGGAGCTTTGACTCAAAATAGCAGTTTAGTCACACTTCAGCTTTTTAATGAGAAACAATGAAGGTTTACGGTTTTTACATATATGGAATTTGAGTGAAAGTATTTGAGCAGTTTGGCTTCACCCACACCTTTTTAAAAGTTTAATTGTACATCTAACCTCACTATTTGCTTCACTAGAAGTACACAGGAATATGGAACATGTTTATCTATGGTTAAGTCAATGATGTGCTGCATGTACTCAAGGGGGATATCATACTTTCCTCAGTCCACCCCTCCTTCTGAGCTCCACTCTCTTGTCCTGTTTTTTACTTGTTCCCCCTATCACTGACCCGTCGCCATGGGGGTCTAGGCCATAACATGCCAACATGTCCGCGGGTCCTGCTGTCCAACATATAAATTTCACATACAAGTGTCCCACATTGACATCAGCGCACTGATTTATGCCACAGCTCCAGCGGTCAGTTAGTCACGCACGCCATTGCTGCTGGGCTTCTGTGTGGCCACTGGGGTATGAGCAAGAAATGGAGAACGTGAGAGAATACACGAGATAGAGGGAAGAGACATAAGAGGAGAGACAGGAAAAAGAGACATGGTGCATGTGTGTGTGTGTGTGTGTGTTTGTGTAGACCGGGATGACAGACAGGAATGCTGAAAACCTGCCAGTGACAAAAACTTCAGCAGTGATGACAGCAGTCTGAGTATCTGTCCACAGAGGGATGATGGATCAGCCCTATTTCTGCTGAGGGATCTCTCTCTCTCTCTCTCTCTCTCTCTCTCTCTTTCTGTCTCTGTCTCTCTCTCTACCCTATTCTAATGGTACAAGAGCCAACAACAAGTGCAAATGGGGTGTTTTGGGTGCACAGATTGTGTTTCTGCAAAGTGAACCTGCTATTTTAGTTTATTTAGGTGCCCTGGCACTGTGTGAAAAAAAAAAGTCCAGGTGAAGGAGAATTATAGATCGCAGAGGGTGGTAATTAATCATCATTTACTCAGCCTGGCAGTGCTGGTCTTATAGCGCTGATCCATCTGAGCCAAGCACAGCATGAGCATTATGACACTGGCTTAATAAGTGAAGAGACACCTTCCTCAGGAAATGGCCAATGCCTCTTTAAATTAGACTAGTATTCTACCTGTGGGAGCTCAGAGATGCTCTCCTCCTGGTTAAGCTTCTAATAATCTGATTTGATGCAGTTTGAAAAGTGTTTTAGATAATTCAATAATGTTTTCAAACCTTGAGCTCAGAGAGGAGGTGAATAATCCGAGCTGTGAGCAATGTGCAACACAGCAAGGTAAAATTCAAACATATTTCTGATCTCTAAAAAGAAGGAACAAATCACATAAATTGGATAACACATTACTAGTCTCTATTTCTGTTGAACTGGTTGAATTAGAAAAAAATGACCCGCACTAATGCAAGCTCAGCTGGGGAACGCAGTTGAATTATCAGATACAAAAACCATGACACTGTCGCACGCACGCACGCACGCACGCACGCACGCACGCACAGACGAGTCTGCAGCCATGTAGCAGCTATGAACTTGGGCACAGCAGTGCTTTCAGCCACACGTTAATGTCAGCATGCCAACATTCTCACAATGGCAATGCTAACATGCTGATGCTAAGCAGATAAATTGTTGACTATGTTCGCCATGTTAGTGTTACGTGTTAGAATGCCAACACTTCTTAATAAGCACTAAACATAAAGTACAGCTGTGTTTAGAGGGCAATTAAGTGTTTCCTCAGCTTTGCAGGAGTTACGATGAAGCTCGATGGAAAAGTCAGGAGATCACCAAGGTCATTAGGATTCGTCCTCTGGGGATTGTGAGCGTCTTCGTCAAATTTCATGGCAATCAATCTAATAGTTGTTGGGATATTTAAGTCTGGATCAAATTGATGGACTGACCAAAAGATCATTCTGCTAGCGTGGCTAAAGAAGCACACACGGCACAAAAGCTAATCAAACACTTCCAACAACACAATGTTCACAAAAGACATGATTAGACCAAGCTGAGGAGGATGAAACCATATAATGAGTATATGTGAAAAACTGCAACACTGCAACTGAAACATGGTCTGCCTCAAAGCCATATAGCATAATATGAATATCTGTCCATCTGTCTCTCTCAGGTTTTGCTCTTTAAATTTGACAGCACTTGTAAATATGGAATATTGGTCCATCTGTCACTCCTTATCCACATGCCTGTCATTCTGCCATCTCTTGTCTGACCAGCTGTCTTTTACAAGCCTCTGTAAGCCTTTGTGGAGAAACAAATGAAAACTTAAACACAAAACCTCACGCATACATGCAGGCCGCTTAGTGGCGAAAATAAGGCAGAAGAAGATTTACAGAGTGCAGAGAGACCACGGAGGAAGAGAAGATAAACAAAACATGTGAAGCCCCAGCTTGCCTCAATTAAGCCACCGCATATAAACTTGAAGGACAGATCAAACACACTGACACAAAATTCAGTTTAAAACTGTTGAAACTAGCCCCAATTAAGATGTCCAACATAGATTTGAATTGTAGACCAGTAACATTTTGACGAGTAGTGAAATAAAACAATATGTTTTTGAAAAATACTACCCAATTAAGGTGTCTCGCATAAATCTGAAGCATGAGTCTATAAACTATTAATGACATCTCCTGCAAAATCAAAGGGCAAAATTTCCCTCTTTTCTTACTTTCTCCCTCCTTTCCTCTCTTACAGCAGAAAACTGGCTGACACTGCAAATTACTTTGCTCTGCACTAGTTTGAACAGTCCAAGTAAATTGTGCAGTCGATTAAAAACTTTGTTAGACAACAGCTTACTCTATTTTTGGCTCTGTTTCACCTGCGGAAAGCAATTAACTCTCCTCCCCTCCAGCGATCTGGACAGGTACTCAAAATATGTACTACCACCAGAGGGAAGGGATGCAAATGAATCCCTGTGGGTACCAACGGCTTCTTTTAAAATATGCTAAAAGCTGAAAACTAAGCAAAGGAGAGTCCCAGGGTGTGTGAGGCAAACAGACTGCAAAAGTAAAAATGAAGGGGAGAGGAGAGGTGTGAACTGTGAACAGAGGGAAAGGAATAGAGAAGAGAGATGACAGGCAATGCAGAGGTGTGGAGGTCATGACAACACACAACAGTCGAAGGTGTTTTCACACGGGCGAACTGAGGAATCTTTGGAGAGTTCAGTATATTCTGTTGAAACATCCTGACACATCACATAAAGTTGAATAACGTGATTGGCTAAGC